ACGAGAAATATGGAGACTTAGGCGACACATCTGGACAAGGGGCGCTCAAACCAAAATGATGCACTCGAACAGACACAAGGAAGATTCAAGAATGTAAAGGCCAAGAGTGTGCCCCTCGCCTCCCCCCAAGCTTCTCTAAGTTATATCACTACACGGCCCCTAAAGCACGAGGGCTCACAGAGACCTAAGTGTTTTAATTCCTTACTCATCTTTGGACCTTCAGGATAAGCCCCGTCGAACCTCTGCCCTTGATTCTCGAATGTTGCCTCAGGATAATACATAGTTGAGTCCCTCAGGCAATATTTAGTTGAGTCCTAAAGGCGGGACTTGATTGAGTCCCTTAGACGAGACTTAGTTGAGTCCCTCAGATGAGATTTGGTTGAGTTCCTAAAAGTGGTCTGACCTTAAAGAGATCCATTTGTTAAGGGTCGTCCTCATAAAGTCAATTGATAAGGACCATTAGGCCAAGGAAGACAGGGAGCAGAAGGCGAACCTCTGTAAGTATTAAGGAGATCTTGCCAAATGAAAAACTTTGATTGAGACTTCACAAGTAGAGAAGGTGATCCTGTCAAGAAAACTTTGAGAGGTCGATTCCAAATCTCAGGAGCTTGTCACCAAAGAGAGGGGTATGCAGAAGTCCCTCAACACCCATAAGAGATTAGAGGACGAGATTTCTGTTTTGAATGACGATTTGCAGAGACCTATGATGTCTATTCCGAGATGGCCAAGGAGCAAATAACCTTTCTTCACCCCGTGGTGGATTTAAGCCTCATGGACATGTTTAAGGTAGTTCATGATGGCCAATTTGTAGATGTCTTAGCCATCTCTCTACCAGCCACCTCACCTATCCTAAATAGTCAAGCTGAGTCTGGGGGTGACAAGTCGAAGGGGTATGCCATCATGGTGAGGAACTCCGTCGGGGATGCTCCTGAAGAGAAGTTGACTCCTGAAGAGGTTCAATGACTTGCAAACTCCTCCCTCTTGCATGTTATTGTGTTTCCTTTATTTTTGTAACCGCCCATGATGATTTAGCCGAGGGGCTTTTATGTAATCTTGAACAATGCCCTTAAGGGATTCCTCGTATTACAATTTTGTTTCTTTTCTATGTCATAGATCGGAAATCTAGAGACTTAAACGACACATCTAGACAAGAGACGCTCGAACTGACGCAAGAGTGATTCGAGAAAGTAAAGACCAATAGTGTGCCCCTCGCCTTGCCCCAAGCTTCTCTAGATTATACCATTACAATAAATAATACAAATAATCAAACACAAAATATTCTATGTTTCAAATATTAAAAAATATATATTAATAATAATAATAATATCCTTAAAAGTGTTCAATATATAAATATTTGTATTTTAAATTTAACAAAACTATAATCATTTGTATTTGTAAATAATAGAAAAATAAGAGCGTTTTAATTTTTGTATACGTTATATGATATAACAATAAAATCCTAAAGATTAAGAATTTAAGTATAAGAATATGTATATTTATATTTATTAGTGCCGCATTGAGAGCAAATAGATAGCCCTTATTAAAAATAATTTAAGATTTTAATTTAAAAAATAAAAAATAATTTTATCAATTTTATATATTATTTTATATCATTCTTCTCCTCCTTCATATCTTTCCAATTTGGGAAAACAAAATTATCATATGATTATTTATTTTTATAAAGTAATATGATTAATTATTATATTAAATAATTTATTATTATGTTTTTATTTGTGCCATAATATTTTTGGACTCAAACATTTAAATAATTAAAAGAATTGAATAAGAGTTGCTTTTAGCTTAATCAAAAGTTTTTGATTCAAATTTATATTGTTTATTTGATCTTTTTCAGTTCGAAGATTAATCTCTACGGTTATATATAGAGTTTGAATTTATATTGTCTATTATAATTTTTTCAGATTCGAAAAGTAATTTATAGTTGTACGTAGAGAATATTTGATTTATAAAAAAAAAAAATTTTGAATTTGATATAATAGTCCTCTCTTTATTCTTTTTTAAGTGTCATTTTTTATAAAAAAACTTATTTTTTTTTTAAGTGTCATATTTTGAAATTCAAGGTAATATTATTGTAATTTTGTCAAAATTATTCTAAATCACTATTATAGAGAGAGAAAAAATTAAATAAATTATTAAAAAATTAAAAGTATTATAAGAATAATAATAATAATTGTTTAAAAAGTAACAATAATTATGTGTTGTCTTGATATGTGTAAAAAGTTTAAATGTGAAAATTAAAAAGAAACGAAAGAGTAATAAAAACACAATCTTAAGCCTTAAGCTTTCATTAACATACCAATATTTGAGTTTATTTTAATGGGGAGTTATTATCAACTACTTCCTCGTTCTTGAAAATTTTATGTTTTTTTTTAATTGTTACTTTCAAATTTAAAAGTAGTATCAATGATAGTCTTGTCAAAATTATTTTTAATTATTTATTATAGAGAGAGAAAATAAATTAGAATAATAAAAAGATAAGGGAATTATAGATAAAAAAAATCATTATTCATATGTGTAAAAAATAAAAATAAAAACAATTAAAAAGAAATAGAGAGAGAGAGAGAGTAAACTAAATTGTCCAAACGAGTTAAATTTGTTTGATTTAGTTAGTTAGGTTGATGAGTACGGCTTATAAAAAGAGCTTTAATCACAAAGGATTGCTTGAGAATGTGAATGCAATAGATTATGTGAGTTTTTAGTTTAACTTGTGATGGAAACTTTGTCACAAGTCATGTGAATTAGAAAAGGCTAAAATTGGTCAAAAAACGGTAATAGTTGGATGGCATTCCAATAAAAGAAGTTTGCTAAGTGATACATCACCAACCTCACATGAATTGTTACCATTACGTTAATCTAGCCAACAGTTTAGGAAGATACAGATTTTTTTTTTAATCTGATCTTGACTTTGAAAGCCACATGTTTTTTATCAACACATTTTTCTTTTTTCTACCAAACTGTTAGATAGATTTAATTAGATCATAACATAAGTGATGAGGTCAACTTTGTTCTTCAGCAGCTTCCAGAAGGATAAGGACCATTAGGAATGAGTCTTACCACTCTAGCTACAAACTAGTTAGATCATGCATTAATTGTCTCAAAAAAATAAATAGTTATTGTCATTTAAGATAGATTATCTAGTTTAGATCCGCTATGATACTGATAACTAAGTTTAATTAGCTTATTTTTGTAGGAAGGTGAACTACATTTAGAATTCTCTTTCAAAGTTATAATGGATTTGAGAGATTAGTTATACTATTATTATTATTTGTATTTCGATTGCCATGAGGAATTGGTTCACAAATTTTGATAATTGAAGACAAAATTATGTTATTTTAAATATTGTCCATAAAATTAAGACAAAATATATACAATAACAAATGACATCATTTTTATTAATAGTTATAAACAAACTAATATATTAGCGAGTTTAGATGTTTTGAAGATTTTTTAATAGGTAAATTAAGTGGTAATAATTATTAGAAATTCACACGTGTTTTAATCATTAAAATCAAACTTAAATTTTATAAATTAATATAATTAAGTATATATACTCTTATCAAAATAAAATGTAAGATTAAATATTTTTCTGGTCCTCATAAATATATCAGATTTCGTTTTTAATCTCTTAAAATTTTTTCTTTAAACAATCGTCCTCTTAAAAAATTTCACTCATATAATTGGTCTCTAACGTCTAGTGAGACTAGCGGATGAGGCAATCCATGTGGATAAGTTATTAATTATTTTTTTATTTTAATTTGATTAAAAAATTATATTGTGACAAACGTGGATAAATAGGTTGAATTTATCCTAAATTATCATTTTCTCTTCTCCTTCATCCCGACTTCATTGTTTCTTTGCATAAAATCAACTCCCTTCAACATCTCCAAGCCTAGCTCTCCTCAATGGCTCTTTCAAAGACAAATTCAACACAAGACGTTTCATTTTCTTATTCTTCTTCTGTAAAATCTTGAGCTGGACATTTATGTGGATGTCATAGTCAAATAGTTTCGTACCAATGTAAGAAGGGACTAAATAAAGGAAGATTATTTTGCAGATGTCCCTTTTGAAAGAGTAATAAGACGGGTGATTTGTTCATTTGGGATAAAGACATTCGAGAAAAAATTGGGAATGAAGATGAGAGCATTTTGAACTCAGACTTGGAAGCTATGAAAGCTATGGGATATCTGAAACATTTGTATGAGGATACAAAGAAGAAGAACAAGAATCTGAAGTCCAAACTAAAAGCAGAATAATTTTCTGGAAAATTGAAAATGTTTTGTTTTTTAGTTTCCTTGATGTTTAATCTGTATTTTGTTGTGAAATGTAATTGTTAATATAATGTAATTTTATGGAAATCTATGTATTGATTTTGTTGTGTTAATGAAAGGTTGTTTTTTTGTTGTTAAACAATTGTTAACATTTTGGCATAGTAACATTTTGATTTATGGAAATCTGGCATTATAACAACTTGGCTTTGTCTAAAATTCTGACATAGTAACATTTTTTAAAAACTACTTTATATTGCCTTGGTTTGGCTTAATTTGGAACCTTTCATAACACTTAAACCATATAACATTTAATCAAAATGTAGATGTTTTCAAGGTACACAAAATAGTACATAAGTTTGATGTTATGATGCTACATAACAGAGTACATTAAGGTTGAAAATCCTTCAAAATACATAAAACATAATAGAGTACATAAGTTATGATGATACATAATCATCAATTTACATAGGTTTGAAAACATTTCAAAATACATAATACACAACAGAAAGTCACTGAGACATGCCCTTCTGAATGTCATCCCAAGTATTTTTCCTCTTAGCACCAATACCATTTGTGTCTCATTCCTCATCAACAACCAAAACTAGATCATCTGCATTTTCCCAGATCCCACAATGTCCTTTGTTTTAAATATCCTTAGGCGATCACTTTGTCTTTTTAGAATTGAAACATGCTTGACTCGTTTCCTTTTTGGTATCATGCTTTTGATCCGGTATAATAGCACACTGTTAGTAAAGTAGCTTTCATAAAATAACTTATAAGATCAATGTCAAACCAACTTACATGACCACTCATAGATGGCCTTATAAAATATGGTTTCTTAAATACAATAGTAGGCTCAGTAATTTTTGATCTTTTTTCAATAAATATTCTGACACCAGCTGACTGTGGTTTGACAAGAGTATGTTGTTTGACAGACACACTTTGTTTGACAGGACTTATATTAACACGAATTAGTTGAATTTCTAGTATGAAATTCTCTAAAAGGTCTTCATCAACTAATAATTGAGACAATGTTTCAAGATCTATAGCATAATATCTTCTAACTGCATCACCAAGTTCCACAGAAGGATGTGTTTCAGGTTCCATAGCAAGTTGAGAAACAAGCTCTACAAAAGGTTGGTAGTCACCGGGTTCTTACACCTACTGGCATCATTTTTGGCAAATATTACCTCCTTACCATTCAAAATATTGTGTTCTAGTACAACATTTTTAAATTGCTTTAAAGAGGAAAATTTCATTCCAACCTTGAATGTGAAATCTTTTGTAAGTGTTTCCTCTTCATTGAACCTAATCACTGCAGGTCAGTCATCACAACTATCTTCATCTGCCCTACTATCAAGCTCATCTGTCATGTAATCTTCTTCAATAACATGTTCCCTATCCATCCTTTTTGTGGTAAACCTATGGCTCGTTAGTTCACTTGTATCAACACCATCACCATTCTCCCTTCTAGACTCACCTTCACCCCCTAAGTTAAACTATTCATCAAGGTCTTCATCAAAAGCATGCATTCTCTTGTCTTAAAAGTGTATGCCATTCTTAGAGGCTTCACTTGATTCATCGTCCTCACCAATTTCATGTCCCTTTTGTTTCTCTCTATACCTCTCCATATAAGTCAACTCCCCTTTAGTTGGTTTGGGCTCGGTATAAATCTCAACTTCACAGTTGTTGTTCTCAGCAAACACATCTAACAATGATGCATCCTCATCATTTCTAAATGGTTTCAGATTTTTTCCAAACAACCCTCTTCATGTTTCCACCATATTTTGACTTCATCTAGATTAAATGTAGAGTCAATCCTCTTAATTAGGTCAAGAACTTCAAAGAATGACCAAAAATCAGGGTATGAAGGCTTCAAATGGATTCATAAACGGTTTAAGGTATATCTGTTCTAGTAGATTTGAAGCATGATAATAAAAATGTTGAAGTGATGATGAAACAAATAAAGCTAAGAGGTCCCAAACGACTACTTTAGATGAAAATGTTTACGATATAGATGATGATTGATGAAGTGTTTGTCATGGAGTTTTTGGGATTGTGATTTTTTCTGTTGGTTCTTGGTTGTCTTTGTTTAGCTTATGCTAGTTTATTTTGTTGATTTGTGTTCCTGGATATTCTTAACTCGATTGTGTTTTCGGGTATTTTTTGATATTGTGATGTTACTACCAAAACATGGTTGAACCAAGTGGGTTATTTTGGTGTTTTAGTGTGCTTGTTTTCAGTTTTGGTGTTATAGTTATGTTGTTTTGTTTATTTTGAAGAATATGACATTGACATTAAGACTTGTTGAAGTTTTGTTATGTGGTTAAAAAATATACTTTTTTGGCCGCTTTGATAATGATTAACTTTTTTTGTAATTTATGTATTAAATAAAAGTGTAAAAGAAAAGTTTGACAGACCGATCCGTCAACATGTTAACTCGTTAGTAAATAGTGAGGACTTGACTTTTGAGTTTGAACGCCTAAGTTGCTCCGCTCCTTCCTACCCAATTTTTAGACGGGCTTAAATCAAAAGGTTCTAAGTGGGGCGGGCCGCCCGCTTTTCCAATCCTAGTCACATCAAGGATTTTACCTGCCACCCCCACAGTTATACTTGACACCCTAAAGGGTATGAAAATACCATAATAACCCAACTCAAATTTTCCATCATTTTGCAAAATTTACAGCTGAGAACCGCAAATTTCAAAAATTCAGGGCGATACTGGAAATTTGGAGGCGATATCGGAAATTGTTCAGTAAAAAAAAGAATTTCCGATAGATTTTCAAAATTTCTGGTAGAAATTCACGAAAATTTCAGTATTTATGGTATTACCGGATATTTTAGCATTTCTGATTTTATCGGAAATTTAAAAAAATTTCGATACTTTTGTAGCATTTTTTACCAAAAATTTTAAAATTTCTGGTAGTTCAATTGTTTTTTTAAAATTCCCGGAAATTTTGAAATTTCCGATCGTTTATTTTTTAACTAATTTTTTTTCTAGCCTTTTTATCATTTTTTCAGTGAGGACCAGGGGTATGTGTAATACGGAGGAAGAACTGACTTTTTTGGTTTTATCCAAATGTGCGGATAGCAAGAGTTGCCAACGACTTTTCTTTTATCTAATATTTAAGAAAGGTGAAAAGAACATGAAATACCTTTGATATATTTTGAGTTCGAGGGGTAGGTTATGAAAAGGAAAGGTGTTAGCACACTTTTTGAAGACTTGCTTTGTGTGTGTGAGTTGAAAATATTTTGAAAAGCCAATGTAAGGCTGACTTTGTAATGATTCTTTTATCAGTCCTCAAGAATGTGTACAAAGTGCTTTTTGAAAATATTTATTTGAAAAGTAGTGTGAAAAATGTATTGTTTATGCGTAAGCATTTAAGATTTCCTTATCCACTAAAGGCCGTTCTTATTCTTTTCCTTCTCCTTTAGAGATAGTATCATCCATACCATTAGTTGGCAGGTAATCCTATCTATTGGATGTGAAGGGACATGCGTAGTGTCGTCTAATGGCCATCAAAGACAATATGTAAGGATGCTTTAGCAATTGTATCGAAGAGACTAGATCATTTTCGTAGGCAACTTCGAAGAGTCATCGAGGGACTATGATCTTTTATTTAAGAGGGTCTTTTGCTAAAGCATCCATACTTTCGAGGGACATGACCAAGTATCATAAGACAACAAGAGAGGATACCCTAGAGGTGCAAGTGTGTGAAGTGTATTGATTCAGTTATATTATCTTGAGAGTTTAGAGTTTTCTACGTTTGTTTTTAATCTTGCCATACAAATCCTAGTTACTAGCAATTAAATATGTACATAAAAAATTAAGGTGCGGAATGTAAAATCTAAGCTATTACATAGCTTTGGGAGAGATACATAGGTATAGAAATTTGCAGGAAAAATAAACCTACGCTATTACATTCTCGAAGCAGATACATAATTAGAAAAAGTGCGAGAAAATAAATCTACGTTATTACATTGAGAATGCGTACTATACATTTTGTCTAAGAATTTAAATAATAAAGAAAATAAAATAAGAAAATGTTTTGAAAAAAAATATATTTAAAAGACCTAAAGTTATAAATATTAATATTTTTAATGTTTTATAAAAAAAATAATTTAAGTGATAAAAGTAATTAATAAAACCTAAATTTACAATTGATTTTAATATAAAAAAGGTCCAATTAATTAATTTATTAGTTAATAAAAATATCAATAAAATTAAATATTAGTTAAAAATCTAAACCTAATTTATTAGTATTAAGAAAAATAATTAGGTTAGTTTAATGATGATTAGTTAAAATTAATTAGGGTTAGAAAAGAAAATAGAAAAGGAAATTATGTTAGAAAATAGGAAAAAAGATTTTGTCTAGGGTGAGTGTTGAACCCCCGCCCCTAAGCTTCACAATTGACTCCCTTGCCACTGCGCCAAATGCTTGTTGGTGATAGAAAACATGAAGTAATTATTATATTGAAATCCTGCATGTTAGTTTGAAAAATAACAAAAATAAATGTTGTAAGACAGGGATCGAACCCACACCCCCTTGTTTAACATGCGCGTCCTTCACCATCTGCGCTGCACTTTCATTCTGTCAACATAACACAAACAAATAATATATTATAAACCAGTGAACTGGAGAGGCGTTGAAGTCCTAGCTCCGGTTTTTTTCTCTGGCAAAGCCTTTCATCAACCTGCAAAAATAGTGCATGTTAGAGACAAAAGAGGACCCTATCCCCCTAATTCGACCCTTCTGAATCCAATGGTGGCATTCTTTTTGGCTAATTCAACCTGTATAATGAGATATGATCAAAACAAAGCGAAACGACATAATCATAGTGATGGAGTGTTCTGGCATTATGGGCCTCATGCAAGGTGTGATTGGTGGAAATAGAACTGACTGTTTAAAGCTGGTTTTGCAAAATGTTGCGGAAGCAAGAGTCGCCACCGTCTTTTATGTTCTCCAGCATGGAAAGGACAAAAGCACATCAAAATTCCTTATGAGAATGTTTCTCGGTTCGGGAGGTAGATTTATAGAAAGGGAAGGTGTTAGCACCCTTTCTATCCGTGGTTATCCACGGGCTCTTAGGTACTTGCTCTTATGTTTTCAAAAAAATGTTTACTTTTTAAGTGTGTGTGGGTTTTGAAAAAAAAGTTTCGTTTGAAATATTTCTAAGTAACTCTTGTATCAGTCCTCAAGAGTGTATGGAAAATTTTGTTTGAAAACTTTTAGAAAGTGTGAGGTGTGAAAAGTATTTTTGTTTGTTTGAAGAGAGCAAGTACTTAAGAGAAATCTACCTACTCTAAGGAATTAGGCTGTGTAAAAGTCCTTTAGATAGTGCTATCCCACCATTGAGGGGTAGGTAGCACCATCGTTGGAGGTGTTCGGGTCAATTCGATTATCGGGACAGTGTGGTCACCGAAGCAATGGTAGGACATCTTAGAAGTAACCCTAATGTCCTAGATCCTTTGTATCCGAGGCAAACGTTTCGAGGCAACTGGATCTTTAGACAAAAGGGCGACCTCTAAGACACCCTATACTTGATGACCACGTTTCGAGGCAACGAGTGAAGCGTACCCTAGGAGTGGCATGTGCTTTGTGTGTTGTTTTTCAGTTAATGTTTATCTTTGATCATGCAATTGTGAGCTACGAATTGTTTTTAATTTGTCATTCAGTCTTTCATGCGTATTAACAGTTAGGAGTGCGGAAAATTAAAGTGCGGGAATGTAAAGCTACGCTAATACAAGGCGCGGGTTTATACATCGCCAAAAAACAAAGACCCGTTTTGTAAAATAAAGTGCGAGAAATTTAAATAAAGCAGTAAAATTCCTAATTAGCTATTACATAGCTGGAGATAGTTACATAAATAATCAAAATAAAATAAATGCGCGCGAAAGAATTAAATTGGAACGTCATGAGGGTTTTGACCCTTTTAAGAAAAGAAATGAATTTTTTTTTGTCTTTTTTTTGTGATTAAAAGCAATTAATTAAATAAAGCCTAATCTAATTAATTAATTAAAAGAAATTTTTTTTTTGTGTTTTTATGTTTTAATGAAATAAAATAAAAGAATTAAAATTCTAAGTTAACCTAATTCTAAATTATTT